TGGTTGAAGGATAACCCAAAAGTAATGGCACAGCGTTTTTTGCTGCTTTTCAAAAAAAAACTACTTTTGAGCCAAGAACAAATAAAAGGATTAGCACAGCCATAACAAACGAGACAGAGACATAGCTCTCCTATCTTCATCTGCTTTCAACTCCTTTTTGTTAAACCATTTTCTTTCAGCGTGTCCTCCTCCTAAGGAAATCATAAGTTTGAGCAGGCAATAAAAGTAGATAATGGTGAAGTAAAGGCACAGAATTATTTTTAGGTTGGCAGCATCTGCTTTAAGTTTCAGGGAACTTAAGAATGCAATGCCATTGTACGCCTAGACACTTCATATTGCTATGACAAAATTCTACGTTCTGCATTTACCTTATTGACAAAAAGAAAGACAAAAAATATCACACAAATTGAACTTAAAAGCTGAAACTACAGAAGTGATTCGTTATAAAATGTTAAACAAGCATAATTTTAGGGTTTTTAAAATTGGAAGTATTTATGCCACTAGAGGTCCTTCCTGGTCAGATTATGATTTCCTCCACAGTGGGTTTTTGGGGTTTTTTTCTATTTCTTTATCCATGCTACATACAAGAATTACTGTTTTATTATTTTGTTTAATTTAATACATGCTTAGAATAATAGAGTGATTTTTCCTTGATTAAGCTTTTTCAGGGGAAATATCAATGTAAGTATTTTTCAAATATAATTTCTTTAATAAAAGCTCACCGTTTATTATGAAATAAAATATTAAAAAATCAACAATTTCATATTTTCACATTTCCAATTTTTCATCATCTTACACCACCTCTCCAACATAACCACTTTTCTCTTAGAAAAATAAAGGAAGGAAGCAAAGGTCAAACTAATGAGCAAAATTAGGATAAGCAACTGGAACAAAAAACCCATATGTAAGGTAGTTTTTCTCTGCTGCTTCATTATTTTCTTCTTAATTTTCCTAGTTAGAAGACAGTTACAAATGTTTGAAAACTATCTGGAAGAACTGTGCAGCCTTGGGAACTTGAATGATAGCACTGAGATTAAACTTCTCACTACAGAACACACTGTCATTTATCAGGAAATTAGTAACAAAGATTTGTACCATAAGCTCATCATTTGGAAATTATTAGGAACTAAGGCAAAGAAATACTGGCTGTTCCCAGGATGGCCATGAGCTGAAAAGGCCTAATTAGCGGTACAAGGGGCAAACTTAACCCTAGGATGCATCAGCTGGAATCAAGAGAGAGATGAGTTAGACTACAGCAAGTCCTGGAGAGTCTCTTTCTGAAATGTAGTGTATGTGCTGTTCACTCATATTCAAGAAAAATGTGCAGAAGGATGCAAGAGGATCTGTAGGGAGACCACGGGAGCTTGGCTTGTTAGCCTAGCAAAGGACACTGAGGCAGGATGGGACCACCGTCAAAAAACGCCCTGAGAGCAAACCCTAGAAAAAGAAAGAAACTTTTAAAAATAAAAGGCAATGTTAGTACAAGAGCAAACATGGATACATGAAATATTATTAGTTTTAGGCTGAAAATGAGAAGACAGTTTCTTACTAATATCTGCAATACAGCTGCCTCTATTAGGACCATCAGGCGCTGGAACAGATTTTCCATAGGAGTAAGAGAAACAAGAAAATAACTACCTGGCAGCAGGGCATTAGCCCTGATAGCCAAGAGACTCCTTCCCATTCTCTGTCTGCAGAACAAAAGGATTTGCAGACAAAGGAAATCACAGTTTTAAAATTAAAATATTCTAATGCTCTCTAAAATTGGCCATAGAAAAATTACTCTGAGAAACATCACAGTAAGCTACTCAGTGCAAAACCACGCCTTACTGCTGCACTGACATGTCCAGCGGTGCAGTGGTGGCTCTGCTGTCTCTACCAAGAAGGAATATGAAGCAGAATGCGTTTCTACATCGCAACGTCAAAAAAGGGATTAACTGAGCAAAAGGAACCGAACGAGGAAGGGTGTGAATTTCAATATACAGAGAGTTTTATTTAAGATAAAAGATCAAGAATGGAATTTAGGTACTTGATTGTTGTTGAAAATCACCAAAACCAAGGGAAATGGTCAGACAGAGGGGGCATTAGGAGATGGTTAATACGAGGCCACACAGGTCTTTATGCATCACTAATTCTGGTCTCACACACCACCCTCACTTCCCGTTCATCTGAGATGCAAACCCCTGTTTGGAACTGTACCCAGGAAAAAAAATGGGTTTTGGTTGCACACGTAGTGCCCCTGCGGCCTAAGTTAACTGATGTGGGTGGTCATTTCAGTGGTAACTAGTAAAATCTCAAAGGACACTGGCTTCGCACCCAGTCCAAACAGAGCTCCCTCAAATCTTTAGTCTTCCCACACTAACACCAATGTAGATGATATTGGAAGTGCTAATGGAAAAACAAGATTACAGCTTCAAACCATGAGCTATGTCTCAGAAAGGCAGACAAAACAAAGCCCAAGGACCATCAAAATTTTAATCTACTTAGCACATGCTGATAGCATGATTTTTTTTTTTTTTCTGAACACTCGTCCCTGAACTGAAGGAAATTGCTCTTCAATCCTCAGACAGGTTTCTTTCTGAGATTCGTATTCTCCCAGTGGTTTCATGGAACAGCATTTCACACCTCTGACTGTGCAGACGCAGCCTACAATAAGACCTCTCCAACTGGCATCTTCTGTTCTTTGGACTAAATACAATAGTTTTGATTTTTTTAGTTTATCACCCTGATGACTATGAAAATATTTGAAAAGACCCAGCAAATTGCCTAGAGTTTCCTCTATACAGACTGGGGTACAACCCTATCTGAAACCTTTCCACGTTATTTAGGAATTATAGCCCAATGAATATTCCTAAAGTTTGGGAAGACTTTGCATTTTGTTTTCCAGGGAGATAATCCTGGCACTAGGAATTTGGTGGGGATCAAGTGGGTGCACTTGGCTGTATTTTGGTCAGACTGGGCAAAGCACACAAAAGAATGGTTATTCTGGCCTGCATTATAGGCCTGGGATCTGATAACCCAGTGTGCGTTGTGCTCACCATTCAGTTCATGCCTTCAGCATGGGACCCCTGCTCTGGGGTGGGAAGTTGGGAGTCATGCCCTCCAGGGGAACAACTGGCTTTCCTTTTCTTGGATCAACCACTACGCTGAGTCTTCCACCTCCGGCTGTGTGATCCTGCCCCTTCTCTGGTGTTCATCTAATCCTGCAGGGAGCCCATGTGGCTGGTTGAGCCACCAGAAAACATCTTGGGATTTGGGGGGTTGATTTCCTTTTTTTTTTCTTAAGTAAGATTCCTGTCAAGAGGAGGACCTCCAGTTCCAGTGCAAAGGCAGAGGCATACTGGGTAAGAGGTTGGGGTGACAAGAGCAGCCCTGATGCAGATCCATTTTGTCAGGATTGGGTTCTTCTTGGGGATGCATATTTTAGCTGTGTTCCCACCCTATTTTTAATATAACTAGGTTAGGAATTTTAGTCTTTAAAAGAAAATCACTAATGAAGTAGTCTTTTTACCACATTGATCCCATTTTTTTATCAAAATATGCTGTGACACTGCACTCAGTCTTGATATTACAGAAAAAATACAATCAGTGTATAGTTAATTGCAAAACTTGCCATTCTGAGATCCTTCTTAATTAAGACTGCATTTCAGATGACTTGCTGGTCTGTGATGAGATGTTGCCATAATGATCAAGACTAAGCTCACCATGGTGAAGGCCAGAATCCACAACTGATCTACCCTGCACGTGTGTGAATGCCAGATTTTGCATTCTGTGGTTTATCTTTAAATCTTGCCACTTACATACAGACTAGGGCTGAGAAGAGGCTAATCAGGACCTGCTTAAAAACAGGCTTAAGGGTAGGGTGGTATTTTACAGGCAGGTGAGACCCCTGTCTCCACTCCCAACTTAGCAGAAGAGGTGGGACAGTCTTTCAAAGGTTGTTTTTACACGTTTCTGGCACTATCACTTTTCTGTCACACCTTGACGAGAGAGGTGTAGATAAGAACATCTAAGGCAGCTTTGTGATGGTCCACCACAAACAAAACATGGTTTCCAGGCAGAGGAAATTGTTTCATTAGATCGACTAGTATAATTTGAAGAGTTTAGCCTGATGCACAAGCAGTACATCCAATTGGATTTGCAGTCAAGGTGATATTATTAAGATAAGGAACTGAGAAAGTGGTTTTCTGAAAGAGGTTGCACCAGCATATTTTACCTCATCAGTGAAAGACTGGATGTCAGGTAGTATATCATGCAGCTGTACAGGCTGTGATGCACAGATAAATGGCCATGTCTGAGAGAAGCGAAGAAAAGCTAGTTCTGTCATTCCTGTCCATTCTTGGCATATGCTTGTTTTCAAGCATCAAATACACTATCTCTATATTGCATGTATTTAAGGCATGACAGGTTCCCGTTAAAGAATCTGCCTACCCTGAAATGCTCTGTGTGGTATTTGTGGGGTTTATATTGTTCATAAGAACCCAGCTAAATCATTAAATTTCCAGTAATCACACTGTGAGTCTCCTTAGTCCCCAGTATTAGCACTATCAGTAATACAAGTACTAAATATGCTGTGAATTTTATTTATTTTGCACACAAATGTCCTAAGCATTATAAGGCAAGCACACGGATGTAATTCTCCAACTGTTCCGCCCTAATGAATATTTCTTTCAAAGTGTTTCTTAGGGTTTGTCAAAAAATATTCATAGAATTGCAGAATAATTTTGGTTGGAAGGGATCTCTAGAGGCCATCTAGCCCACCCCCCTGCTTAAAGCAGGGTCAGCTGGAGCAGGTTGTTCAGGGCCATGTCCTGTTAAGCTTGAATATCTCCAAGGTTGAAGATTCCACAACTCTCTGGATCCCTGTTTAAGAACCCTCATGGTAAAAAAAAAATAAATCCTTGTATCTAGTCAGAAATTCCCTTGTTGCAAATTGTGATTGTCGGCCTTTGTCCTTCTGCTGTGTGCTTCCAAGAAAAGTCAGGCTCTGTCTTCTCTACATCCTCCTATCAGGAAGGTGAAGGCTGCAAGAAGATCCCCCTTAGCCTTCTCTTCTCCAGGTTTTCTCAGCTTCTCCTCAGATGTCCTCTGCTGCAGACCCCTACCATCTTGGTGGCCTCCACTGGACACCTTCCTATATGCCACTTTCTTTCTTGTACTGGAAAGCCCAAACCTGAACACAATAACACTTATTAAGGTGATCACGCAGGGTGATTTCAGTAGTTTTAATGTCTCAGAAGTATGGTTTCTGACAGTTCCTTTCTGAAGTCTTACACTGCCTTACTTACCTATTGTTTCTTCTTTCTTTTTGCTATTCATACCTATACTGAAGGAAGTGTTACTTATTCTTAGGGAAGACGTTATTCTTAAGGTCAAAACATGCCTTCTGACATTTTAAATCATGCTTGGAGGAAAAGTACTCTGTAGAACCACATTAGGTGTTACACCAGAAAAAGCAGAAATCGAGCATCAACTTCAATGTGGAACCAAGATCAAATTTTTTTTCTTCATTTTAGTTGTTGTCAATATCAACAAAACATGAGTAATACCAGACATTTGACTGGTGTAAAATAAAACTATTATACACATAAGACATATACTATAAGGTTATACAAATAATTCAGAGGTAAACAGCTTTAAAATCTTTTTCCTAAAATGCCTACATATACAAAAGCTATTTCATTCAAATTTCCTGCCTGAAGAAATTTTAGTTAAATAACATGCTCATGTTTTATATCAATTCCTTCTTAGAAAAATAACTACCTTTACTCAAGAACATTCTATTTTGGTATTAAGTATTTAAAGATTATTTTCTTTTTTAAACATGTCTGTTCTTTTATCCATGTTGGAGTTTAGGTCTTGGTATGTTTATTCTGAAGAGTTCCTAAACATTCTTTAAGTAAGGAGAGAGATGAAAATGTTTTCTAAAAGCAGAATAAAAGTTAAAGAGGTTAGGTGTCAACCAGACCTGTGGGACAGCATTCCACTCTCTGTTTTAATCTTGGCAAGATGTTCCACTAACACGTAAATGATGCAAGCTGCGCCTTGAACCTTCACCATGCGGGAAGATATTGGAAGATGCTTTGAACCTACAGTTTAATATACAAGGGAAATTGTTTAGTTGTTCTCATAAGTGAGCACAAAATAAGTGATGTTAATTCACTTTTTTTTTTTGGTCAATATGAGTGTCAGAAAATATTAGTCTTCCAGACGCTTGCAGAGCTTAGTTGCCAGGTTAGGAAAATGTTAAGTACCCACTTAACTTCATGTGTTGAAACAACTTCCTAAATATTTTTGCTAAGAAATGTAACCAGATAGATTTAGCCATTCCTATTCCTTTTCCTATTCCTAATATGATTCCGTTAGGACTAAGAGTGATCGCAGAATTCTTTTTATCTGACAGTCTTAATATATATGCAATCTTGGTAAAATCAATATTATGTTGAAAAATAAGTTAATGATAGAGGAATTTCTCCTGGAGATTTGTTGGGGGAGGGTTTACAAAAATAGAGTATGGTTTTATCTGAAAGCTTAGCTGTTTCACGGTACAGTGTTCTCTACATTTCAGAATTTTATCTCATTTATAACAGTGTAAGGTAGCAATAAGTCTATGAAATTTTCTAGTCTTATCCAAAGATATATAACTTATAACGTTGACCAGGATTTTGTTTGGTTTTTTTCTTACAACTTTTCCTTACACTCTTGCCCTTCAATTCTAGAAACTACAAGTTAGGTCTTTTCACAGGAAATACACAGGCGAAGAGTTGGTATCCAAGACTGATTGACCATGTAACTGAGTACTACGATTGTTGCTTTGTCCTTCTGTTAGGGTATGATAAATGTAATATCTCATGCAAGAAAATTACTTATTTCATCCATGAAAGAAGAAAAAGAATTACTAGAATGATTTACAGGAATTATTTGCATGATTTTATTGTAAAGTCACAATTGCATGAAAAATGTAGTTTTTGTCATGTGTCCTGTTTCTTTTGCTTACAAATTTTTCTCTGTGTGATGTATCTTTGGCTTACAAATTTTTCAGATACCCTCCCCAACAACCACTTTATCCACCAATATCCCTTAGTCCACCATGACCACTCAGCTCACTTATACCCCCAAACCCCTCGCCATTACCCAGTCTACCAAGCCCAACAGTGATAGCAGCCACAACTTCAGCAGTCACATCATGACACCTCAGTATTACAGTGATCACTTCCAAGACACCTTCTGTTTCTATAAGCACTATTTAGTAATCAGTTGTTGTTCAAGTCTCTCAGCATGCTAAGGTATAGTTTTCTTGTTATCTGCAGTGCATTAACAGCGAGTTAAAACTTTTTCAAAGAGCTCTGATAACTTTTACATTCTGAACAGACCGTTGTGCTTCCGGGAGTTGTAAACAGTACAATGTATCAGACAATGCATACTCAAGAAAAAGAACTTCCTACATTTGAAGTCAAATGTGTATTTATTTGTATTTTGACCCACCTGGAACCGTCAGACCTTTTCCCATTTCCGTATGAGTAAGCCAGAACTTTACCAAAAGAAAGAACAAGGCATTCCGCTAATCACAAGCTGGGTTTTGATTAGAGTTACACAGGAATAAATTCAGAGCGATTGCCAAGACTGTACATATACATCTGACTCGAGCTTTGATCTAGTCATACTTCAGGATCACCACAAAGGCTTGTGTAGAGAAATGACCTAAATCAAAGGACCAGGTAGCTGAGCTTGCCAGCTGGCTTTGGCTACTGTGACTATTGGATGTAGGCAAAAAAGGTGTAACAAAAGATGTGTCTACAAATGTTTGAAATAAATGCATCTACTTGAATGAAATATTGAAACCTGAATGTTTGATAAGACTGATGAGGCTTAACAAGTGTTGACCAAGATAAGCTAGTTTTTATCTTCAGGTCCGGCTCAAAGAGAGCTGGTGATTGACCTGTGGAGCCCAGGGGAGAGCTGTGCGTGCGTAGCACTTCCCAGAGAGGGGGCCTGTGTTCATGAAATAACCCTCTTAAAAGTGGCTGGGTAACTGTCCTCCACATTCTCTGATAGTCTCATATGGACAACTGCTTGTACTATAAAACATTAATTATTCTGTTTGTTAGGGCAGTGAATGTGATGCTGTCATTTGAGGAGACTTCAGAGAAGAAAGCGGGGGTAAAGCATCTTAACCACAGCCACTGGAATTTCTTTCTGGAAAAAGTGCTTTTTATCAAAATGATCCATCTGTAAACCTGTCTATGGGTCTGATCCTGAAAACCACTGAGAATCTCCCCAGCACCAAGGGTTTTCCCGTTAGCTTCAGCAAAAAATATTTCACCGAAGTCTTTTTTCCATCTTAAAACGTCATTGGTCACAAACACGCAGACACATCTCTGACATAGCACAGCACTGGCACAACACATCATCGCAACTTCTTACCAAGGTTAATTACTGCTAACGCATCCCCATAAAGCCAGTGTGTTCCGTAAGACACAATGGGCTAAACACAACATGCTTTTAAGGCAAGGTGTAGATTTGGGCAGGTAAAACATGGACTTTTTCTAGCATGCTGTGTTAAAAGGTTTGTTTTCAAAAAGCTCTACTTGAACTTTATTACGTATTTGCCTCACTCCGCTCACGACGGCGGAGGCTGACGACTCCCCCTCAGCGCGGCGGCGGGCGCCCCCTCGCGCCAAAATGGCGCCTGCACCGCGCCGCCCAACGGCTGGGG